GGGTGCTGGATTTTGTCAAAGGCCTTTTCTGCATCGATTGACAGGATCATATGGTTCTTCTCTTTTTTTTTGTTAATGTGATGTATCACGTTGATTGATTTGCGAATGTTGAACCAGCCCTGCATCCCAGGAATGAATCCCACTTGATCATGGTGAATAATTCTTTTTATATGCCGTTGAATTCGATTTGCTAGTATCTTATTGAGAATTTTTGCATCCATATTCATCAGGGATATTGGCCTGTAGTTCTCTTTTTTTACTGGGTCTCTGTCTGGTTTAGGAATAGGAATGCAGTGTTTAAAGAGATGTAGGCTTTCTTTCTCTTCCCTCCAATTCTCCCTCTCCCCATCCTAATGAGATGAAGAGAACAATTATGTTGTGAAGGATGGACCGTAGAAAGAATGGTTTAACTGGCCTGGGGGTGAGAGCTGATCATGGTGAGGGGAGTCCTTGGGATGGTAGGCTCCCTAGATTAATTGTCCACAGAGTTAGCAAAATAACCATTGAAAGAACTGCTGTCCTTGCCTCTGGGTTTGAAAAATTGTACGTGAGTCTGAACATAGAGTGAATCTCATGTGGGGCTGCTGAACCTCAAAGAATTTTTTAAAGTTTTAATTTTAATTCCAATTAGTTAACATAGAGTGTTACATTAGCTTCAGGTGTAGATACGGTGATTCAGCACTTCCATACATTACCCTGTGCTCAAAGCATTTTTTAAAGAAACATTTTTGTTTTATTTCAAAGCAAATATATAAAACTTGGAAAAGACAGGAATATACAAAAACGAAAATTATAGTTGTATTTTGATAAATCCTTATAGTCCTTTTTTCTAAGGACTTCTTCTTAAAGTCTACTTTTTCTAAGTAATGTATATTTTTAACATGTTTTCATTTAGTGATATACCCATGTCATTACACAATACATTTGTAGAGAACTATTTTTTTTATAATTTTTCATTTTTTTAATTAATTAATTAATTTATTTATTTATTTATAGCACACGTGTGAGTAGGGGAGGGGCAGAGAGAGAGAAGGAGAGAGAGAATCCTAAGCAGGCTCAGTGCTGTCAGCACAGAGCCCAACATGGGGCTCCATCTCCCAAACTATCGTGACCTGAGCCAAAATCAAGAGTTGGGCACTTAACCAACTGAGCAACCCAGGCACCCCACATTTATAGATAACTATGAAATGGCTGTATAGTATTCCAATCTATGGATGAATTATAACTTGCTTACTAAGCTTTTGTTTTTTAGAATTTCTAAATTTTTCATTTTTATAAACAGGGTACTTTGAAATTCATATAGGTAAATCTTTCTACTCACATGTATTTCCTTTGGATAATTTTGCTTGAATCAAACTTAAATAATGTTAAGGCTTTTAATGCTTAATGATTCATTGCCTTCCAATAAGATTATACTAATTTTATTCTCAGCAGTGTTTGTAAATAACCATTTCATACCCACTAGCTCATAGTGGGCATAATAACTTTAAAAAATACTAGTTTGATGAAAAATTTTACTCCTGCATATTCTACTCTGTGTTCTTTCCTTTGTGACTCACCTGGTCATAATCTTTGCCCACTTTCTAATGGCATGTCAATCTTTTCCTTATTCTTTCTTTTCTAATGTTTTACTCAGAAATAACTTCAAACTTAACAAAAAGTTATAAACATAATGGTATTACAAAGAGGACCCAAATGACCTTTATCCAGATTAACATTTTAACCCATTTGCTTTCTTCCTCACCTTTCCTTGCCCCCCTTCCTTCTCTCTCTCTCTCTACACACACACACACACACACACACACACACACACACACACACACACACACACACACACACAAACACACACACACACACACACACACACAGTTGTCTTTCCTGAACCATTTGAGGATAAATTACATACAACATGACCCTTTACCTCTAAATACTTCAGTCTGACTTTCCAGCCTCACTTTCAGTGATACTTTACATAAGGACAGTTGTACCATGTCATAAATTTACATACTTTAATCTACCACCCATATTCTAATTTTATTAGTTGGTCTTTATAGCATTTTCTCCTCTAGTACAAGACCAGGTAGAGTCAACCTATTTGGCATGTCTCTTGAACCTCCTTAATTCTGGAATATTTCTAGTCTATCTTTGTCTTTTTATGACACTGACATTTTTTTTGAAGAACGCAGAACCTGTCAAACTTTTTTTAAATAAAAATTTTTCATTTACATTGGTGTAATGTTTCCTCTTGATTGGATTAAAAATATGTACTCTCAGCCAGAAAACAACATATGTGGGGAGGTGTCCTTCTCAGGGTATGAACGTCTGCCTGCTCCTCATTTGGTGATGTTAATTTTGATCACCTGGTGAAGGTATTGCTCACTTTGTTCAGTGTATTATTCCTGGGTTTTTGGTTCCCTTCCAGTTAGTAAGTGTCTATAAGAGACATCTTAAATACATATACTCTCCTCCTCACCAAAATGTATCCCTAGATGTAGCATCCATTAATGACTTTTGCCTTATCTAAACTTTACCACAGTGATTTCTAAATGATGATTTTTCTGACTCCAGCCATCCCTCTCCATTTATTAGTTCTCAGCATCCTATTTTAAACAAGAGCCTCTCTTCTTATTATTAATATATTTATTTATTCATTCATTCATTTTTTCAATGGTTTATAATTTATTACTGTACTTAATTATTTTGATACACACATTGTCTAGGCTTAGCCAGTAGGAGCCCCTTCAAGCTGCCTCCTGTGACAATGGAACCTGGTTTCATCATCTTTTATGAGCACTTCCTTACCTTGTGGCATAACAAGATATTTCAGATATACTTACTCTGCTCCAGCCTTGGAATCAGCCATTCTCTGAGTAGCCCTGTTTCCTTTGTATAGGAATGGCCTTAGAGACCAAGATGTAAGTTCTGAGTATGCTCATATGCTCATGTGCTGCTTGATTCTGGTAATGGTTTCATGGCCTTAACACATATGTCAGACATATCAAAGTATATGCACTTAATTGTATGTCAATACAATACCTTAATCTAGTTTTCAAAAAACAGGTAATAAAATAAATAAAATGTTTTAAAAAGACATTTTTACAAAAGAAAAAGTAAAACTAAAATATAGTGCTCAAAGATAAAACTTGGGTAATAAAACTCTAAAGAAAATCAAAGTGATTACCACAAAATTCATGAAAATGGATATTTTGGAGAGGAGGGAGTTAGCTATGATTGGGACCAGGGACATGAAGCTTCTAGGGTAGCTGGTCAGGTTTTATGTTTTTACATGAATGGTAGTTATAGGAGTTTTCTCCATATAACAATTCATTATGTAATTATTTCATGCAGTTCTCTATTGCTTATAATTTTATCATATTTATAATAAAAGTGGTTTAAAAATAAATTAATGTTGTTCATATTCATGATACAAACAATTACTTACTAGAAATTAAAGTCACTCTGCAAGTAGGGCAAACTTATTGACAATCTAACAAACATACTTCATTGTACAGTTTATAGGCTATTTTAAGGTACATTCAGATAATGACTTATTAATAAGCAGCCTACACAAACTTAAACTGGGATATTACTCTTTCTTAATATATTAACTTTTTGAGTATTGTTATAAAAGCCAATTATATAAAATGAAGACATATGTTTATTTCCCGTTTTGGAATTTCCATTTGGTTCATTTTAAGGGTTTGTTTTTCTGCTGAGATTTATCATCTTTTCACTAATTAGAGTGGATTTTTCTTTATGTCTTTAAGCAGAGTTGTGACTGCTCTTTGAAAAATCCCTGCCTGCTAATTTCAGTATCTGGGTCATCTCAGAGGTAGTCCCTATTAACTGTCTTTTCTCCTGGGAATAGGTCATGCTTTTCTATTTCTTCCTGCATTGAGTAATTTTCATTATATTCGGGGCATTCTGAATATTATGTTATAGAAATTCTAGATTCTGTTATATTTCTCCAAATACTATTATTGGTGGGAGTAGGAGTAGTGTTGCTTTAAGCAGGCAGTTAATTTGATTGGCTTTAGACTGTAAACTCTGTCTCTAGGGCAGCAGCTCAAATCTCTAATTTTCTTTTATCTTAGGCTGCTTGGAGTCTGCCCTGTGCATTTTTAGTTCAGGGCTCAGCCAGATGTGTGGGTAGCGTCTTTATGTAGTATTGGGACTCTCTGTCTTTGGCTCTCTCCTATTTTGATTCACTCCTAACTTTCTAGCAATTATGGTTGACCCTAACACTGTACTCTCCTTCCTTAGGCCAGATTGAGTGTGTTTTCTATCAGAATGTCAGTTCCTCTGCATGGTGCAGACTGGGGACTCAGGTTTGAAAATCTGACCCCGATGCTGTCACCTCATTCAAGGTGTCAACTTCCCTCCAGAATCTTCTTGCTTTTGTTCACTTTTCAATGCTTTCAAACAGGGGCTTTTCTTTTTAATGTTGTCCAAAGCTTAGACTTTTTATTTATGTGCAGATCAGTCTGATAGGAGCCTACTTAGCAATTATAGCAGTGGCCTGAATGTTTATTTCTTTAAAGAAATAATAATATAAATATGCTAAGAAATTTCTTTTTACGGATAAATAAAATGATATAGAAAAACACATTGTTGGACTACAAGTAATTTTTTTGGCAAAGAAAAAAAAAACCCTTAACTATATATTTCTAACTTCAAGGAAGTATGTATATATAACCACAAATAGGATATAAAGATAATAAGAAAAGTAATAAAGGAAAAACATGTTTTTTAAAAAGGGAAACATTTATACTTGAACTATTTTGAAATAAAATATTTGAACTTCTTTCATATTATTTTAGGAATAAATCTAATGAAGCTGATGACTGTCAAAGAGAACTTAGAAAACTGAAGTTTGAATCCATTATTTCTGAGTCACGGTATACACTGCAAATTTTAAATTAATATTTTTAGTAATTAAATTTGACATCATGTTTTAAATAACATTTTATTTGAAATGTACTTAGTTTTTCTTATTGTATTATTTACACATTGAGTACCTAATTTAAGTTTATAATATCTTGAAGTTCATTGATTTTGCCTCTTTCTAGATGGGAAAGTTTTAATCCCACAGAATTCTCCATTTTCTTAGTGTGAAAAAAAAATTTTTAAGTTAAAATTATAGTCTTTAGTTTCAAATGAGATTTTCATATATCTTTGATAAACATAAAAATATAGTGTCTAATGTGTATTTTTTTTTTCCTATTCCATTTTAGGCATACCAGATTGCTTAAAGAGAAAGAGGATTCTTTAATGGCTTGTCAACAAATATATAAAACTTTACAGGAAGAACTGACTGCGAAAGAAAGACAAGAAGAAGACATAAAAAGAAGAATTAACTTTGCAGAAAATGAACTACAGATAACCAAAACTCTTCTGCATAAGACAAAGGAAGAGGTTGTAACGCTGAAAAGTGAAAGGTGCAGTCAACAATAATTTCTTCCAAAAATATTTTGTTTAAGTCAATGTTCCACATATATTTGAAATATCAAAGTCTTACATATACTAATAACAGTAGAATCACAGGATTAAAGAAATATTTCACATGAAAGGCCATCACATCCAACCACCTCCTTTAGTGATTAAACTAAAGCCCCAATTGGTTAAAGAACATACTTAAAGTCATATAGCTAGTGAAAATAGAGATGGAATCCACATTGTATTTAGTGTTAGATTTTTATTGAAAAGAATCAATGTGTGAAAAGACCATGTATGATACTTATACTACCAAATTTCACCTGGACCAATAATTGGTGGATTCTATCACTTTGCGACAGAGAAACATCTTTTTGTATCACTTTTTCCTTTTATTAGCTCCTACTTTTCTTCTCTGTTATTTACCAGTACCTCTTCTTGAGGGCTCTCCACAAAGATAACTCTGGTGTTCAAGTAGTGAAGGGATAGTAAAAAGCATGTTCATTTAGTCATCCTAGATATTGTTGCTCAGTTAATTTGTCTTTAAATTAACCTTATTTGTATTTCGTATCTCAACCCTGCTTTCTTTCTTTCTTTTTGTTTTTATTTGCCTGGTATGTCTGTACTCATTCTTTTTGAATTCTTTTGTTTTAAATGTATATCTGATAATATAACATACATTTTGGGGCTTTATTTTATTAGGTTTTATCAAATATGGAAGTCTAATGGGAGATATTATCCCATTTACATTTATTGATATAACTATTATATTCCAAAAGAACACAAGTTCCATAAGGGCAAGAATTTTTGTCTTGTATTATTCTCTGTGCACAAAAGGCAAAATTGGCTATTTGTTTTCCATTCTTCCTATAATTTTTTTGGTTTATTTTTTGTTTTGCTAATTTCATTTTATGCATATTGGGTTTCTATCTTAGAAGATTTATAATTTTGTTGTTGTTGTTGTTCTTTACAAGGATAGCTATTTGCCCTCAGAGGAAGAGTCTGGGAGTGGCTAGCAAGCAGCTTAGAATTAAGTTAATTGTCTCAGAACTTTCTTATTAACTCTTTGCCCTGGGTCCTATCTGTCTCTACTTCAGGCTAGGAGGAGCCTGTCCAGTTCACAGGGGAATAATTCTTATCTCTGGTCCATCCCAGGATAAGATGAACACCTGCAGTGCTGATTGCTACCCAGCATTTCTTCGTGATTCAACCATACCAATAATCTGCTTCTTGCAAATATCATATACCTTATAGTTAAATGACTCTTCATTCCACCTCACCACCTCTACCATTTCACAATTACATAGTTGCTCAGCCCATAGCATATTAGAAGCAGCAATTTCATAAGCAGGGAATTTGTAAGAGCCAGGTTTACTAATAACAAGAAGGAATGGCAGCTGAAAGATTGACCATGCATAGAAGAGAAAAAAACTATAAATGCAAACTAAAACTTTAAAAGCATTGCAATTTGACCCAATATATGATAGAAACAACCCTACACACATTTGTAACTATTTATATATTTATAACATGGGTTTATAACTGATGACCATCGTGATAACCGTGAGTGATAAAGATAAAAATCAGCCATATACTCTACTTAAAAAGTACAGAATCATATATCCTAAGATACCATGAAATAAATAAAAAATGTTTAAATCTTCTGTTCATAACTTTGGTTATCTGAATAATTTTCTTATATCCCTGTATCATCTAAAATACCCCATTTCTAATGATGTCCGATTAATTAGATTTCATTGTTTATCTGAATGACTGCTATCTTCTTTATAGTGGTCATTGAAAAGATCCTGTCTTTGTTCAGATATCTCTGGAACACTTTTCTGAGGACTGACTTAAGTGCAAATATTTTAGAATATTCTCTGTATGATGTATCTTTGCCCTTTAGGGATGAATTTGATTTTTTAAAACCATATCAGTATGTTCAGTAAAAGCACGTTCAGTGACTATGGAGGGAAAATCTGGGAAATACCATGTAGGATCAAAATTAAATTTTTTTTCTATGCTTACTAAATTATCTCTGGCTGCAATTTGAAGACGGCAGTCTTACAAATGTTTTGAGGATTGACGGCATCATTAGACCAAATATAGAACTTTCTTGGGGGATTGCTTTGAAATACGCAATCACCTGGATATATACGTTTTTCTGTGTTTTAAAAATAGAAATAAAAATGTGCTTACAGATCAGTAAGTTAACATATTATCATAGGATTACTCCTAGACATAAATGTCCTTTTTCTTTGTCCTAGGCCACCTTCAAATTTTGTCTTCCTTGTCCTCTGTTGTATCCTCAGAGTATGACACATATCCACTCAATAAATAGAATGAATGGCTTGCTTTGGGTAATTTAGTCAACAGTTGTTTGTTGAGCATTGACTATATGCCAGGTACTATGTACTCTGGGGATATAACAATAAGTCTGAAACATCCCTGTCCTCAAGAAGCTTGCATTCTAATGAGACACATAGTAAAAGAAAAAGTGAAGTGCTAACTAGAATAATTACAGATTGTGACAATGGAAATAAAGTAAGGAAAAGGGTATCGTAGCTGAGACTGATAGAAAAAGGGCCTGATTTGTAAAGGGAAGTCATAAAAGTGACTTCTGAGATGATATATAAAGGAAGCCAAGTGAAAGTTACCAGGCCAAAAGCCAGGAAGAGCTTTATAAGCAAAGAACAAGCTTGGTGAGTTCTCAGAAATGGCAGTATGACTGGAGGCCTAGCAAGTGTGAGTGAGGCAGGTGAGAGCCAAATCAGGCAGAATCTCTCTGGCCTTTATGGATTTGGGTATTATTTACAATGCAATGAAAAGAAACCATTGAAGGGATTTAAGCAGAGGAGTGACACTGTGGAAAGGTCATTCGGGTCCTGAGTGGAGGTGTGGCAATTGAGCAGTGGGAGCCACTCAGGTAATTTACTGTTTTTATATTAATGAAAGGATTTTATGTATAGTTAAACCTAACAGACATGAGAAAAATGAAAGCCTTCAGCTCCCACACCCTGCTAGCTTCTGCTGGGTTATTTAAATGTCTGTACCAAATGGATGATGGCAAAACAGCCAGAGCTTACTCTGTGTTGAGCCAAAGGGTAGACACGTGAAAGCCCCGTGAGGAGCCTATCTTGAAGAAAAATGACCTTTTGAAAGCTTTTGACACTGCTGTCCAAACCTGCCTTGAAACTTGGTCTTCCTTTGACTACAGGGCCAACCTGTTAACCTGCCCCTTTTCTGTCTCTGTTTTGGTTCTTTCCCATTCCCTCCTCTGATCCCCTGACAGCAGATATTCCTTAAGGTTCATGTATGAACTTGGCTTTCTACTGTCCACTTTCTTCCCTTCAGTAGTAAATTGTCTCTCAGCTGAGCACATTTTCTCTTAAAGCTTTGATTTGAAGTGCCAGTGGGACCTCTATATAGAGGTGTCCCTAAGCAGTTGGAGATGTGAAAGTCCTTCCAAAACAAGAAGCTGGGCTCAGGAAAAACTTTTAAAATAGAAGTACTTGATAACACTCACAGAGCTTCTTGTTCAGTAGTACTGGGCGGTGTCTGGAAATGGGCTTCACAGCAACGTCCCAAACCACCGTCATGGAAGGACTGCAGCCAACCAGGCTGCCAGATGTGCTCTCCGAAGGCCAAAGCCCAGGTTGCTCCCAGTGACAGCGTGTGCTTCCGTAGACTCAGGCAGTCTCACGTAGCGCTACCCCTCCTCCCTCACCCCACTGATATCAGAACCTCTGCCAGAACTCCCCTAGGACCACTATGAAAAACGTGCAATTCAGAAGCTATGTAGCTTCAGCAGAGGAGAAAAGGAAGGGGTAAAAAGCCAAAACTGACCCTAGAAAAAAATTGGTAGAACTGAATTTGAGACAAGAAAGGAGTTGGTGACTAGGAAATAGTTGATGGATAGGACAAATCTATTTAATGAGGTACTGCTTTCTTCCCCTTCCCTCCACTCGGCTGAGGAGGCTTTGTTAGGAGAAGAGCCTCCGCTGGAAGGAAGAGAAGTGGGTGCTTCAAGATCACAGATGCTGAGGGTAGAGGTCTGGCCAGCTTGGTTACAGACACACTGAGGCTGGAGAGAGAGGTCTCCTTTGTGGAAGAGGAAGAAGGCAGCAAGGCACAGTGGGCAGCACCAGAGAAAGTACAGCTATTTTCTAAATTCTGTACAAAGGCAGCTCTGTGCTCTCATGCTTCTGGGTTACAAGGTCTTATCAGCCAGACCCAGAACTCTGCCCAGAGCCATCCATTTGTGACACTGCCTCGGGACCATAGTGGATCAAGTAGGGTTCTGTGGGCCGGCCTGTAGGCCTGATTCCATTTTATAGAATTTTATTTTATTTCTACAGTAAAATGTGTTTGGAATTCCCTATAACCAGCTTACAGATACGTTCTATAAGGACATATGTGTTTAAGCTTGGAGACTGCCCACATATAACACTTAGAAAAATTTATGCACTAACATGTGGGCTACGACCATACTGCCGAAACTCGCAGCTGTCTGTAACAGCTCTCTGTGCAGTCCCAAGAGCTGTATTAGCACCATCTTGGTAAGTTCCAAGAGCAAAAATAGAAAAATACTTCCTGTGATTGACTTGCCAGTAACAGGAGGGGATTAGTGAAGAACATTGTTGGAGGAAAAGCTTAGTTTCAACCAAAGTTAGGTGGAGGTTGCTTACGTGTAAATTCTTCCGTGAAATAAATAGGTCTGTATCTCTTTATCTAGCTCTTTATCTATTTTAAGCAAAGTTTATTTAAGTGTTCCTTGTTCTTCCAGACAGGTATCTTTTAGGCTATAGGGAAGGGTTTTATTCCCCCTCCCCCACACACGTAATCTTAACTTCTTTACAATTCCTGGGTTCTCTCCTTTCTCTCTTTGTCTTTGGTGTTTGTTTGTTCATTTTTTTTTTAAATTTTTTTCAACGTTTATTTATTTTTTGGGACAGAGAGAGACAGAGCGTGAACGGGGGAGGGGCAGAGAGAGAAGGAGACACAG